CTGTAGATGAGGAACTGTTATAATTGCTTTTTCAGCTAGTATATAAGATATTTTTTTAAATATTTTCCTATATAATAATAGTGTGCTTACGGTGGTCAGTATAATTCACCAAGCAACAAAGCCAAGGAAAGAATGCAATATTTTTGCCTTGAATTGAATGACCTATTTACAACTATAATCTCCTGACCATGTCAAATTATACAATGGTATTATTTACTATGTACAGTACACATAAAACATAGAAATTATCTAGAAATTAAAGATGACTGCTAAATGACCTTGACCTATGAATTCGAATGAATTTAAATATGGTTGCCATAATGACTTCTTATCACAATAATCGAATTCTGTGAGCTTAAGTATAATATTTACATTAAAACATGACTGCTAACGAGAGCATGTCACAAAGTATTAAACACATAATGACCTTGATTGACCTTAATTTACCAATTCATGACCATAATATCTATCTTAACATGTCACAAATGGTGTAAATGTAAATCTTTTATCATGAAAACATAATTTGAAGCATCCAGGATTCAAATTTGAAATGCTTTAAAAGCTAAAATATTAACATTTTTATCCATGGCAACCATTTTGAAATCCAAAATGGCCACCAAAATTACCTTGAATAAAATACTGTAGTTCCCATCAAAAAATTGAATTCTAAGAGGTTGAGTATGTTTCTGATGTAAAACACGACAGTTACTGTAGGCCTCCTTGTTTATGCCATATAATATTTTACCTGTAATGACCTTAAATGACCTTAAATAACCTATTTATGACAATCTGAAGCTGTCAAAAATTGTATGATATTATTTCTTGACCATAAAAACATATTTTTGGACATTAGAATTATAATTTGAAGTGGTTTAGAAGCAGAGATATAGATAAATATATGTTTTACATGGTGGCCATTTTAAAATCCAAGATGGCAACCGCTTTTATAAGATATTAGCATTATTCTATTAAGTAATACATGCATTGGTTGCTAAATATTATAAACCTTAGTGGCGATCTAAAAAATTACAAGTTTACTCATAAATATGACATATTATGATGATATTGCAATTTTGTTCTCATATTTTTATCTATTTTGTCGACCATTTTGAATAAAACGCATTTCCACATATCTACCTGGATTTTTCTAGACATTTAATATGTTCAAATAGGGACCTTATCGAAATGCACTGTGGTGAAATAAATTCTGTTGCAATTTTTTCAACCTTTCACACAATTTTACGCTAACTTTCTTGTACTAATATACAATGTATTATATCTAACCATAACCATAATTAACCAAAATATGAACGTGCTGCAATAATAGCCTGCCATGGAGAGAGTTGATCTTTTGTGGGTATCACCAAATGAATACACAGTAAATCGATTTTTTCATGGTGTATATTTCACCGCCAAAACAAAATGTAATTTTACATTACAAAATATTGACATGAAAAAACAAATTTAATAAATTGTTTTCAAAGTTACATACCTTTATTTACACATACTCAAATGACTATTGGTCACAGTTAAAACCTTTTTTTAATGGTCTATATATATTTTACCACAAAAACAAAATGCAATATTGAAATGAAAAACAAGCATATTTCTTAATCTTTTTTTTTTTTAATTACATGCTTATTTTCACAGATACCTGAGAGGACTGAAAGTCCCCTCTGGAAGTGGGAGAGTTCCACTCTCAGCTCCTTATGAGAGTTTGCGCTGGCTGACTGGATTTATTAAGCACAGAAAACTGTATAAAATGATGGTGAGTGTTAATTATTCTGACCACAATACATAACTATATCATTTTGCCATGGTACTGACCCTTCCTTTGAATTGACGTCCTGACGGAGGTGGTCTCTAAAGTTTTTTTGCATCAAACATATAGTTATTGCATCGATCCCTTGCTAATGGTCTAATGCCTGTGTCACCATTCACTAGTTCTCGCCATTCTCCTTCTTTCATACCCGACCCATCGTAGCAATCAACAAACCCTTGTGGCGAATATCTTGCATTATCTGCTTTTACTATGTTATCTACTGTTGGGACTTCTGCCTTAATTTGGAGAGGAAAATCCTCCATCTCGCTGCTAATATGCAAAAGGCATTTTCAATTGTTCTTCGAGATCTTGATAGTCTATAATTGAATATCCTGGAGTTCACTGTCAAGTCTTTTATAAGTCCTAATTTTATGTTTGGATATTACTTATTTTATATAATAAATACTGGTACTAATTTTGTAGATACGCAAGATGAAAAACACGATTATGAAACCCTTAAGGCAGACCACACTATCAAACATATTTTTGACAGCCCCCCCCCCCCTTGGTTTATTAGATATGAGCCATTTCTTAATTTCTATCAAATCATCATTAATTGTTGCAGTTAAATTATCAACATTTTTATCTACATAATATATACAGGTGTCATCGGCATACATTGAAACTGTGGATTTATCGACAGTTCTAGGGAAATCATTCATATACAGGAGGAATAGCAAGGGTCCTAATATAGACCCCTGAGGGATATCATTAGATTTCTATTTGATTATATACTTGAACTAATGAATTGTTTAATCCGGTGTTTTTTTTTAATTCAGTAGGCATTACGCTGAAGAAGAGAGCAGGCGCTCAAGAAATATTCGTTATTTAATAAATTGTTTATATATCATGGAAAAACGTCAACCGCCTATGTTATTATTGCTTGTCTCCACCATTCTAATATATGTTCATCAGGATAGACGTGCACCCTTCAATTCGATGAATCACAACTATATATAAATAAATAAATAAATATATATATATATAATTTGCAAACATTATGTTTGATGCAACACCAACTTCACTTTCTGAAACTGCAGAAGATACAATTCCAGCTGCAGATATCAGTCCAGTTGCATCAACTCCAACCACAAGTCGTACACATGTAGAAGTTTTTGAGTGTATACAACAATAATCCATTATGTATTTATTAATGTTAATGAATTGGTGCATATATAAATAGCTTCTGTACACGAAAAATACTGTTTAACAATATTAAGGAATGAATAAGTGTCCATTGCAAAACATACATTGAATATAAAGTGGTGCAAGGTAACATTAATATTAATATTAATACAACTTCAATACATTTTAAAGTGTTTTTTATTTTTTTTAATTACTCATTTTCCCCTTAAAGTAAAAGAGCAATTGGTAGGTAAGAATAAAATATTTTCGCTTTAATACAGGTAGCCTTAGGAATTAGACAACTGTAATGTAGCAATATGTTTAATATCCTAAGTAATTGATATTTCAGTGCCAAAGAAAACTGTTGGAACTTTGGAGGTAAGGAAGTTTTTTATGTAAACTTTATTTCTGCATTTTCAATGTTTTTCTTTTTGACGTCTAGAAATTTTTTTTTGTTTATACCATGTATGTATTTGAATTAATGCAATAGTTCAGTTTAGGAGGGTTTAAAGGTGTTATTTTTATGTCAACTGCTATTGAACGTCATACTCAAAATGCTTAATAGGCCCAGTACCAGTACCAGTATTTTCATTAATCAAATGGAGACTTTTAATTTTGAGTGTACAGTGGATCCAACTTCATGTGAAATAGTGAACTACGGTGCATATATTTCAAATGATGAGGCAAGTAAACATCCAAAAGCAACCAAAAAGTAAATACAGTATATTTCTTTAACTTTTAACAGATCCCTTAGGTTTAAAATTGTAATATTTAAAAGTATTAATATAATATAGTTTAATGTCATGGCTACTATGCCGATAAAGAACCACTCATCATATACACGATACAGCAAATTGCGCACTATATTTCATTGCAACGTTCCATGTACTGTATATACTTTTTACTGAACAGATAAACAAGGGCTTTTTATTGATTTAAATATACCTTTAAATAAATTCTAATAGTTTTATATTATTCTTCATTTCAGAATTCAATAAAAAAAAAACAGAAAAGTTCACCACGTAAAGTAAGTCCTGTATATTTACTTTAATTTGTTTTCATTTTTTACAATCACTGCAATAAACATTGAACAATAATAATTTTTCTGGTCTATTATTTTACTTACAGCTTTTTTGTTTTGTTGAATTATTTTCCACCATAACCGCCAGAAACAAAAATCATTTCATTTTCTTTTTAATGTTTTATAATGATTTTTCTTATTAGGAGGAAGAAGGTCAATTGCTAAGATCAGCAATCCACAAGCTTTCGAGCACTGAAACTTCTAAAGAGGATGACTGTTCTTTATTTGGGAGCATGATTGCAGAAAATACATGTGTCTTGCCAAAAAATAAACGGAGTTTGACTCAGCTTCGGCTGCAAGCATGAATAATTTTGAAGATGTATTATTTTCCTGTAGGTAGTACAGTATTTTCTTTTTCAAAGTTTGTGATGTTTTTATAATGCATTGATACTACTTTATTATACTGTATAGCAACATTTTTATTTGTTCTCAATCCAAACTAATTTGACTGTTTGAACTACATGTGGGCCATGCTCATGACCCTATAACAAGAGAGTAGGCCTATCTGTATTGCTTCTCTTTACCCAATTACTACCACTTAACTGGTTTATGAAACCATTGACAAGATGAATGAAGTGCTACATCTCAAGTGACATTTATCAACTTTGTCATTTTTTTGGGTGTTTTTTGCAGGCAATGGTGGAAATGAAGGATGAGCTACAGTAATAATAATAATAAATAATAATAATAATAATAATAATAATAATAATAATAATAATAATAATAATAATAATAATAATAATATTAATGACATTGCAGCGTTCGAAA